TGCCATGATGAAGCTGCCAGTCACCCGTTGTCCATAGCTGTGGCCTTCTGAATCATCTGAATAGTTTCCACAGAGAAATGTTCAAGATTAATGCAAAATTTGATATAGATTCATTGCTCTAGTCACTTAGTCATTTTGAATATAATGGCCACACAGCACACACAGCACACACAGCTTCACTCAGCGATGTCTACCACCCCCACTGACTAGTACAGTGAAGTCATTATTGTTCACGCATGTGCATTCCAGTCCCCTCTCCTTGGCTGTCAGGTTTCATCGATGTCATTACAAACCATTCTCATTGTATTAACAATGACTGCATCTTTTCCAGACCGCATATGCACACAGACTGCATCATTCATAAACACACACACATTACACATACATACAGATATCATGTGTTTATCCGTTCATTCATCGATAAACATTTTGGGTGATCTATAGTTTGGCTTTTGAAAAGAATGCTGCAATGAACACATGGGTACATATATCTTCTTTTAATATTTTTTGTTTTTTAAGACTTTATTAATTTTTAGAGAAACGGGAGGAGAAGAAGAAAGAAAGGGAAACATCAATGTGTGGTTGCCTTTCATACGTTCCCCCACTGCAGACCTGGTCTGCAACCCAGGCATAGGGCCCAACTGAGAACCAAACTGGCGATCTTTGTTTCACAGGCCTGCTCTCAATCACCTGAGCTACACCAGCCAGGGAAATTTTTTTTTATTTTTTAATGACAGTTTACATTCAACATTATTTTGTATTACTTAAGGTGTATAGCATAGTGGTTCCACAGTCATCTACTTTACAAAGTGTTTCCCTGATATTTCCAGTGCCCACCTGGTACCATACATAGTTATTAGAATATCATTGAGTATATTCCTTATGCTGTGCTTTACATCCCTGTGACTGTTTTGTAACTGCCAGTCTGTACTTCTTAATCCCTTCACCTTTTTCACTAAGTCCCCCAACCCCCTCTACTCTAGCAACAATTACTCTGATCAATACATTAATCATTGTATCTATGAGTCTCTTTTGATTGTGTTTGTTCATTTATTTTTGTCTTTCGATTCCACATAAAAGTGAAATCATGGTATTTGTCTTCCTCTGACTTATTTCACTTAGCATATAATATGCTCTAGGTCCATCCATGTTGTTGCAAATAGTAAGATTTTACTCTTTTTTATGGCTGGATAGTGTTCCATTGTGTAAATGTACCACAACTTTTTATCTACTCATGTATTGATGAGCACTTGGGTTGCTTCCAAGTCTTGGCTATTGTAAACAATGGTGCAATGAACATGGAGGTGTATATGTTCTTTCAACTTACTTTCATGTGCTTTACATAAATACCCAGAAGTGGAATTTCGTGATCATATGGAAGTTCTACTTTTAAGTTTTTGAGAAACCTCCACACTGTTTTCCATAGTGGCTGCACCAATTTATATTTATACCAACAGTACACAAGATTTTCATTTTCTTTACATCCTCAGGTTTGATTTGCATTTCCCTGATGATTAGTGATGTTGAGCATGTTTTCAGATGTCTGATGGCCCTCTGTATGTGTTCTTTGGAAAAAAAAAGTGTCTATTCTTTCATTCAGTAGGATAACTTTTTTATTTTGTTGACTTCCTTTTTTATTTGATTTCCTTCACTGCATAGACCCTTTTTAGTTTGATATAATCCCATTTGCTTGTTCTCATTTTCTTTTTGTTGCCATTGACACTGGCAGTTAGATGCAAAAGAAAAATACCACCAAGAACGATGACAAGAAGCTTACCACATATGTTTTATTCGAGGGATTGTAGGGGTAGAAAATACTTTTTCTCCTGCGCTTCTCCTTTTCAGAATGTCTCACTTTGGTACACAGACAGAATTTCTGAAATCAGGTTTTGTTCTAGAACAAATTTATGAAATTGTACATCACTACATAGACATACATTACCTGGTGAAAATCTGTGTTACTAAAATGGAAAACACAGTGTTTTTTCCTTTTTTATCCCTTGCTTCTTTTTCTCTGTGTTGTACAAATGTCGAGCCTTCTGAAATATGTAATTTAGTACTTTGCATTGAAAATAGAGTCTAAGTGAACTTTGAAAAGTGTTTCTGCCTAAAATGTCTCTGGAATGAGTGTTTCATTTAGGGAAGAGAGACTAGAAAACAAAAATTTCACTTTCATTCTGTGCTAAGAAATGAAGTATTTTGTCATATTTCTGCAACTTTTAGGTAGGATGTTGAACACTTTCTTAAAATTATAGAAATTCTCAGAGGTTAAACAAAAATGTGTTTGTAGCAGTACCTATAACACTTAGTTGGCAAAAATTAAGTAGAATAAGTCAGAAATACATTCTTTCAGGTCTATTGAAATCAAAATGGACTGGAGAGTTAAAAGATTTAATGTCACTTGTTAGTAGGGAACAGGTTGATGCGTTGCTAATGTGAATACTAATATTTCAGTAGCATGAAAAAGAACATGGGTAGGGGCATCTCCCTGTTTAAATCATGTGCTATCCCATAAGTGTCAGCTGTGAAGTAATTTTCAGAAATAGTCTGATTTCCCCATTGACTTCTGTTGTAAAACTGAAGCTGTGTTCCCATAGAAAATAAATTTGGCCCCAGGTTACAATAAAACACCTTGAAAATTTCAGAAAATCTTATAACATCAAGTATTTCTGGACACAGTTATAAGTACCTGATAAAATACTAGCAGAAATTATTAATACACAGTAGAGTGGGTCTTAAACTAGCATGCTGTGAAGCATACTATTATTCGTTTACAATTCCAAATCTATTACCTTTCCATTTAAAGACATTTTACTTCTGTGATTGCTGTTGTTTTTTAATAGATTTAACTCTAATTTTAGAAGGTGAATTTGGCTTCCTATATTTTTCATGGTTAGGCTGCTTACCTTCCTCTAAAGTGTTCTTACCAATTCTTATTCACAGATTATCAGCCATAGAAGGAAGACCAGAGGAAATGCTTCAAAATGGTCACAGTACTTGATTCTGTGTTGCTGAAAATTTGTTTACTTATGTTTTTATATTGCTAAGTCTCCTACAGAAATCATTTTCTTTTTTTTCTTTTCTTTTTTCTTTTTTAATCCTCACCTGAAGATATGTTTATTGATTTTAGAGACAGAGGGAAGGAGGGAGGGAGGGAGAGAGAGAGAGAGAGAGAGAGAGAGAGAGAGAGAGATCAGTTGCCGCCCATACGTGTCCTGACTTGGGATCAAACTCACAGCCTAGTTGAGGGAGAGAGAGAGAGAGAGAGAGAGAGAGAGAGAGAGAGAGAGAGAGAGAGATCAGTTGCCGCCCATACGTGTCCTGACTTGGGATCAAACTCACAGCCTAGTTGTACTTCAACCGGGATGTAAACCCAGTGACATTTTGGTCTATGGGATAACACTCCAACCAACTGAGTCACCTGGCCATAGCAAGAGATAATTTTCTATAAATATGTCTTCTATAATTAGGAAAAAGTACCATAATTTCTTTTTGTATGTATAAATTTAGATATGAGATACCTTTAGTCAGGCAAATTTATATATTTTATTTATTTTATGCTTTGAATAGTAGTGGTAGTTATCACTTTTCAATAAAATTTGTAAAACAATGATCTACTTAATTTCTGGATAACTACTACTCTAGAACATACTACTCAAAATACAGATCAAAATATAATCCGGGACTAGAAGCATCAGCATCAGCTTAGAATTTGTTAGAAATTATCTGGCCCATTGGCTCAGGCTCAGGAAACAGCAGTCTGGGTTTTAATAAGGTTATATTGTAGAACTACAGCAGAATCAATCTCTCTCTGTCTCTCTCTCTCTCTCTCCCCCTTCCTTCCCCCTCCATGAGCAATAAACACACACATATGTAACCTATATGGAATATGTGTACTGAAAAAAGAAAATAAATACATTTTTCTCAGTTTTTTTCTTTTTCTTTTTTATTTTTAATTGTTGTTCAAGTACAGTTTTCTGCCTTTTACTCCCATCCCAGCCCCACCCCCCAGTGCTCCCCACCTCCCTCCCATTTCCACCCACCCTAGTTTTTGTTCATGTGTCCTTTATAGTTGTCCCTGTTAACCCTTCCCCTTTCCCCCTGAAATTCCCTCCCCTCTCCCCTCAAGTCACTGTCAGCCTGTTCTCTATTTCAGTACATTTTGTTATATTTTGTTTGTTTGCTTGTTTTGTTGATTAGGTTCCACTTATAGGTGAGATCATATGGTATTTCTTTCACCGCCTGGCTTATTTCATTCAGCATAATGCTCTCCAGTTCTATCCATGCTGCCACAAAGGGTAGGAGCTCCTTCTTTCTGTCTGCTGCATAGTTTTTTATTGGTGTTTTTTTGTTTTACTGTACCTAGTACATAAAAGAAAAGATATGAGGTACTTTGCAAGTACTTATACTTATTTGTTTTGACTTAGCAAACATGTTCTGCATGGTTATACATTAAATACTTCTGCCTAATTTATAGATTTTCAAAACCCACTAACAGATATAATGACACCAGCAACTGGTTATGGACTGAAGTGTGTCTGCCCCAAAATTGTATGTTGAAGCCCTAACTTCCAGAACCTCAGAATGTGACTTTTTGGAGATAGGGCCATGGGAGAGGTAATTAACTTAAAATGAGGCTGTAAGGGTGGGCCCTAATCCCATGTGACTACGGTCATCATAAGAAGAGGAGATAAGGACACAGACAACACACAGGGACCACCATGTGAGGATACAGCAAGGAAGTCACCATATACAATAAGGCAATGAGCGAGGCCACAGAGGAAACCAAACTTGCCAACAACTTCATACTAGATTTCCACCCTCCAGAATTGTGAGAAAATACATTTCTGTAGTTTAAGCTACTCAGTCTGTGGCATTTTGTCATGGCACCCTAGCAAACTAATACATAAGTATTTGTAGAAATGGTGATATAATTCAATCTAACATCTAGTGATTGCCTTTGAGGTACTATTGGATCATGTTCCTTAACAGAAAGCTACAGCTTTACAAAGAGTGCCAGAGAGCAGTATGACAAACTGTCCACCATGCACAGCAACATGGTAAAGCTCTACGAGAATCTTGGAGAATACTTTGTTTTTGACTCTAAGACAGTGAGCATAGAAGAGTTTTTTGGCGATCTCAGCAACTTCCGAACATTGTTTCTGGTAAGTAATATATCTTAAAGTATTACAAAGCCTGTTGCTTTTGTTTTTAAATAATGTCTTCTGTTGGAATTTTATATACCTATTAACCATATTGATTTGTTATAGCCCTGTAACAGTAATTGACAGCTATTTTATACCTGGGGGCACAAGTAAAAATTGTTAGGTGACTTAATGTATAATGGAGACCAAAATGAATTATCTTCAACTTTGGGTACACAGGGGAGTTTTTCTACTGAAATTCTATAGAAAATCAATGAATTGGTGCTTAAATGATCCTGATTTTTTACAACATAATACTATAATTTGACCTAGCTTAAAATTCATATCTAAAGTATTCTTTCACATAATACATTAAAATACTATGATTGATTAACAAGTTTCTTTCATAGTCTAGATGAAAAATGGATTCTAAGTTGAACTATATAAATACCTTGAATACTTAAAGTTTCTTTCAGAATGTGGGCTCTTGTTTCCAGCTATAACTCTCTCAGGGATAATATTAAATATTAGCATTATTTGAAGGGGGCAATTAGTCTGCCAATTATGATGGTAGAGGGAAACAAAAGTTTTGCTGTATAAACAGCGTAGAACTACTCTGTATCCAGCTGTGGAGCAGAAGAGCACAGACTCTGATTATGGTAGTGAAGAAAGATACGCACTATAGTTGATATCAAACAGGTAAAGGTTCATCTATTTTAAAGAAGGAATTCTAGCAGTTAACCCCAGCAGGAAGACCAATCAGCAAACTAATTATTGTAGTTCAAGGTATATTTCTATCAAAAGTAGTTGTTTGTTAGATAAAGCTCCCTCTCTTAATTAATGGTGGTTACCCCTGAAATCATTTGGATTTGGCATCTTGTACAGCCTGTGAGATAGAAATATGTTTGCAGAAAGTGTTTGCTTTCATCTATCAACCTAGGACATAGGACCCAGAGCACACCCCACTCTTGGTAATAGAAGCTAAACCAAAAGCTTTCATAAATATGATCATTTATCTTCATTTTTTGCTGAAAATATAACGTGTTTTTGGCCTTTGGTGTTTGCCTCTTAATAGACACACATTTTTAACTTTTAAGCTGGCCAATAAGTAGTAAAATATGTTATACTGATAATGAGTGGTCCAACTAATTTCAAAACTTTAAAGTCATAAATAGTATATGAACATATGAACACCCAGGTTATATCCACTTAGATTATTTTCAAAATGACAAAAACAAAGTATGTGAAAAGGAATGAGGACCAGAAAAGACACTTCCATTGACATACTGAAAAGATAAATCCAATGGGTTATATTTATAATATCAGTGTCTATGGGTGAATGGAGAGAAATAAATGTAGTTAATATTATCAAGTCCCTCATTTTAACATGGATTGTACCTTAAAATATTACCTGTACTCCCCTTCCTGCTCAATACATAGACACAGGATAGAATTTAGTACACGTCTCCCATGTTAGAGCATTTAATGAAGGAACATTTCTGTGTGACAGTTTATGGTTAGTCATATTAGCCAGATACTTAGAAGACTTGCTAAGAAGTATACTCGTAGTACTTCTCAATAATAACTTGTTTAAAACATGTAAGGGTATAATTGTTAAGAATACCTGAGTCTGTGCCCTTGGGCTATCAGTAATAAGCTATGTGACTGTAGGTAAGTCATTTATCCTTTTTAGCTCTTTGCTTATTTATTTGTTCATTCATTTATTCATTTAGTAAAGTGGAGGGATTATACTGCTGATCTCTAAGAACTTATTCTTTAGTAGTGTATGAGTCATGGTTGGAATTTCATAGAGTTATATATGTGCATTACATACCTAAAGACACATACACATATGTCTACTGGCTTTACTTTGCATGTAGCTCAAGTACAGGGAAATGATTTGTCACAAACCATTTTCATTATAAATAAGTTGGCATTCGGTATTCCAGTGTTGAGTGCATTTAATTTCTTGACAAACTGCTAAGATTCAGTTTTGAAGCTTTTGAAACAGGTAACCAGCCTCCACACTGTGTCCCGGCCAGCCATTGCCATCTTAGACAGAATACTACTACTACCACTTCTCTCTACCTATCTTTAGTGACTGGCTCACATAAAAACTAGGTGTGCAAGTTATTAGCTCTTTTGAATTGGGTTGGTCATGTAACCTCTCTGGGTATCTGTTTCTTCTTTTACAAAATTTGGATAATTCCTGCCATGTCTTCCTCACTGCTATGTGAAAACACCATGTAACTTATGCTATGCAGATGAAGAGTATTATTAGCTCTTCTCTATCTATCCATTTGATTATTATGTATTGATTACCAACTTGATTTTGGTAGTGCTTTAGTCTAGGGATAAAAGGAAGAGAATAGTCTCCCCCTATACGTAGGTAGAGGGAAAGAGGCAAATAAATGAAATATAATTGAATAAGCACTATCTTAGGAATATGTCAGGGTGCTATAATAATATTAAGGAAGAACTGCCTAACCCTTCCTGAGCTGGCCAGAGAAACCTTCATAGAGAAAGTAACATTTGGGCAGAGTCTGGGAAAATCCATAGGAGTCTGACAAGCAGACTTTGACCAGCAGATTTAAGGGTTTTACGCCTGACCTATAAGCCAAACACTCCTAAATCAACATCACCAACTTCAGTCAATCATCTGTGTCCACCATGTTCCTGTCTCATAGTGAGCTTAAAGAGAGTTCACTCTCCCAGGGGAAGGAAGAACCCTGAAGGAAAGACAAAAATTGTAATCGCCAGAAGTTCCAACTTTTTTCGCGTTTTGTGTGTTTGACCTCAGGGTTCTTAGCGCTAAAAGCATATTGTACTGTAGATGGAAGCAATAAAATACCAGTAGTGCTGAGAAGAAAATAAGAGTTCTGATTCATGTGCTACCAAAAATTACTTCCAGATGAGCTCAGAGTTTCATTTTGTGAGATCTATTTGGCATGTGTAGCATAAACAAAATGCACATACCAAAAAATCTTCCTCAAAGGGATATCCTCTAAAGGATAGGGAAAGTGGAATTAAACAAAAGGGGTTGACATGGATTAGGACCTTTTTCAAACTAATAACTTTCAAATTAATGAAAATGAAATGGGGTATTCTTCATGAGACATTGCTGTATTCAATATCTGTTTTATAATTATTCGATGTCATTAGTATTATTCAACTAATGAAGATATTAAAGATATTCAAGATAAGTGTGCTATAAAAGTATATTGGCATAAAGATATATGTTATTGGAAGCATTTCTAATTTCAGAATTAAGACTCTCCAGTTGGCTTCTCTGAGATTGGAGTTTTAAAAGCTGTTTACATTATAGGCAAGATTAATTAATAATTCCTAAATTTAGGTTGAATATTTTGTAGAAGAAAATAAAATTCCATGTTTATATAATATCTAAACATCTTTTTCCCTTATTCTTCTTTATCCTTCAGTCATTCTACTAGTTCAAATAGATGAATCCACAGTCATTTTTAGGGGCATTATTTTCAACAGAACTTTCAAAATCAGTGAACCTCATACATTTTGTCACCATGCAGTCTCTTGCTTAGACATAAAAATTAACTACAGCAGTTGAGAAAGTGTTTGAGGTGAATATAATACTTTAATAAGTTTCATAGCTCCAAATAAACTATAGAAAATATTTTTTTATTTTTAAAATATGTCACCTTCCTACTGCTTCTGTGTATTTTTGTCTTGTTTTTTAAAGAACAATATGTTACCTAGGCACTCAAGAAATATTTGTTATGTATGTGTTCTCATTCTATATCTGATATACTAGAAGGCTTTATAGAATTAGATTCATTGACATAACTTAAGAAGGAAATGTTACCATTACTACTAATCATGCTAGAAGATTTTCCCTTAACAAAATAAGTGCCACTGTTCATTTGATAAACTTCAATATTTTTAATCAGGACATTACTTTAACAATTCTTGAACAGCTGTTAAAGGAACATCAAAATGACTAAGTGTTAGGAAGCTAAGTGATATGTATAAATCATGGAGTTTTTATCCCATTATTCAGTCTTATTGCTTCTACCTCCTACATACCTTTGAATCCAGCCATTTCTCTCCAAGTCCATTGACACCATTTTAGTTCAGGTGCTCCAATCTCTCACCTGCACTATTACAATGATGCCCTGACTGGTATCTGTGTCTGCTCCTCTTACCATTACTAACTTTGAATGACATCCTTTTGGCCTCAGGATAAAACCTATGCAGTTCAAAATTAAAGTGGTTTACAAAATCTAAAGAACTGTGGTTACTTAAAGGCCAAACCATCCAAGTATGTCTGAATGAGCCATGTACAATCACTTAGCATGACCTCTTCTCCCAGACTGGGATGTCAGGTATGGAAGGTGAAAGCCACAGAACAACACAACAGCAAGTGCCCAAGGGGACTTGAATCTGTTAGAATAGGAAGAAACTTTGGGAGTGTAGTATCAAAACTAAATGAAATCTCAGACACAAATGTGTGATTGTCCTTATGCCTTAATTGCTCCCATAGTTGTTATGGCATGGGGAGTTATGGGAACCAAAGTCACTCTTAATTCTCAGTTAGGGATGTGCTTCTTTCCATCTTATTACTTGTTCTTTTAAAATCTAAACTTGTCTGAGAGCTCCTTGTGTTGGCTCATGAAGATACTTAATTTTGAGAAGCTCTCATGCCTCTCAAGCCACCTTCCTCTTTAAAGAGGAAAACAATCATGTCTAAATTGAAACTATGATTGAAAAGCCAAAGTAAGCATCTGCATTTTGGTAGACTCAAAATACTAAATTGATAATATACAGAGCATTTTATTCATTCATTAAATGCAATTTACCTTTAAAGAAATGAGGAGGAATTTTTGCATTGAAAGATTGCATATGTAATTCCTGATCTAAGAAAACTAAGTTATTTTGACACATTTTTAAACCTGTAATTCACAAAACACTTGACATTTAATGGTAACTTTAGTGCAGTGTTATAAAAATTCTGGACTTACATAAGAAACCAAATATATTCATTAACA